TCCTGCCCCCAAGCCACCCCCCGGGGCTGCCCCATGCTCCTCACCAGGCCGCAGGCGGCAGCGAGGATCCTCCTGTTCTGCGGGGGGAAACTGAGGCACCAAATGATGCACGTGAAGTCATAGAGGGGGGCTGTGGTACCAGGGCATTCACCCCCTCCCCCCGCCGGGGACCCGCGCGTCGTCTCTCTGCTGCTGCCTGGGGTCTTGGTAGAGCACAAGAGCTGCCGTGGACGGGGTCAGACCCCAGGTCCGTCCTGCCCACGTCACCCGGCGGCAGAGAGCGGCGCTGGACAGGGGAGGGACAGGGTCCAAGCAGGGTTTCCCCCGTTCCTCTCCCCCTCGCACCCATCGAGGATCCAGGACGTGGTGGCCCCGCACTCCCGCGCCCCACCGCCCCCGATGCCCCTTTCCCCCAGCACGGGCCCAGCCCCCGGGGTGGATCTGGATGAACTCTCTGTCCCCCTCGCACCTGGTGCCCGCGAGCTCCCCACTTTCACCCCACGCGGGGGGAAACGACCGTCCTGGTGCGGTGTTTCACTGCCCACCTGCTCGTTTCATGCTGGGACCCCTCGTCTCTGTCTGGCGAGAGATGGCCAGGAATCGGTCCCTGTGACCATCTCTGCCACTTCGTGTGTTATAAACCCTTGTCCTGTCCCCCGTTCAGCACCTCTCTCCTAATCCCCTGGGCCCGGGCCTCGTTAGTCTCCCCCATAGCACCAACCCCCCGCGCTGCACCTTCCCCAGCTCTTCCCCATCCCTTTGGAGGTGCGAGGACCTCAGCGCTGCTGCCCCGGTTGGGCAATTGGGTTTCAAGTTTGGACAGGGCAGAAATCAAAGTGGGGTAACTGCCCAGGTGCCCCCGACCTGGTGCCCACAGTACCCAGCTAGCACAGGACAACCCAGTTTCCCCTAATCCCGGTATCCGGCTGCTCTGTTCCCCCCGGACCCGTCTCCCTTCTCCAGCCTTTGCGGCTGGGAAGACGAAGGCCCCTCCCTGCCCCCGGAGTGGCGTCTGCTGACCGTCATCCCTGATAAGGTGCCGGCCCCAGATGAAAGCCCAGACACTGCCCTCGCCCCTGGGCAGACCCAACCTGAAGGCGCCTGCGATCCAGGTGCCTCTTGGGGCCTCCCCATGGAGGCTCCCGGCATGGAAGACTTCGGCCAGTTCATGCCCGTCGGCCCCCAGCCCTGCCTGGGACCCCCCGGCTTCCCCGTCCCCCACTGCCTCTCGCCAGGCTCCATGCGGGGCTACCGGAGCGGGGGTTTTGCCAGCCCTGGGGATCTGCCCGGCTACCACCAGGACGGCTACCATGGCCCAGACTGGTACGGGACAGTCCAGGAGGGGCCCTACCCGGCAAGTAAGTACTTGACTCCCGTGGCCCGAGGGTGCTAGGCCAGGCGGGTTTGCTCTAGGTGGCAGGGGGTCCCGGTGCCCCGGGGAGAAGCAGGGTGAGCTGTTGTTGGCACCAACAAAGGTACCTGTGGCTGCCCGGGAGTGAGCACACGCACTGAAATGCAGCCTTAATACCAGCCGGGGTCCAAACAACTCCCCCCTCCCCTCGGTGCTGGCTGTTTTGAGCACCAAAAATCATACTGGGATTTTTTCCCCGTAGCCAAAACCCACCCAGTGCAAGCATTGGGCATTAACGGGGGGGGGCTTGAGGCTAACGAGAAGGTCCTGAAGTCTTATACCCAACACGGCCTCTTCTCACGCATGAAAAATCTCCGGAATTAGCATTTCCCTTAATAAATAAGGACCTGATACGTACAACGCCGCCATCCAAGCTGCACCCAGCGGGGCTGTTGTAGGAGCTGGGTTGTCTCCGGACATCCCCGCAGGTGCCAAGAAAGGTCCCGATCCTGCCTGCTGGATGCAGGGGCTGGCTTTAGAGAGGGGGCTTCAGGGGAACGACAGCAGGATTGGGGCCTGACAGAGCCTTTCTGGTCCCCCCCGCAGTCTCCCGCTACATGGGCCCCGTGGGCTTCGGGGCGCCCGGCCCGGGCTACCTGGGTGAGATGGCGAGGCCGCCAGGGCTCATGCTGGCGCCCGGGGGCCAGAGGAAGCGCCGGGTGCTGTTCTCCCAGGCGCAGGTCTGCGAGCTGGAGAAACGCTTCGAGCGGCAGAAGTACCTGACGGCGGCGGAGCGGGAGCGCCTGGCCCAGCTCACTCGCCTCACGCCCACGCAGGTGAAGATCTGGTTCCAGAACCACCGCTACAAGGCCAAGCGCCAGGCCAAGCGGCGGGACGTGGGCGATGGGCCCCCTGCCGAGCCCCCACCGGAGCCCAGACCTGCGCTCAGCTCAAGCCCTGCTGCCTGCTCTCTGGGCTGGCACCTGGCAGCCAAAACAGCCCCGGGGGGGAGACCTGGTAGCTGAAAAAGCTCCAGCGCCCGGAGTCCTGTGAATCCCGGAGGGCCTCATCCAGGCAAGCTCCAGCTCCCAGAGTCCCGGGATTCCGGTTATGTCCACCCCTGCTTTGCACGGTCACCCTCGCCTGGGTCCAGCTTGCATGGCACCAGTGCCCGCTGAGCCCAGCAAGGAGCTCGCCAAGGACATGAGGAATCGCAGGGAGCCTCTGATGTGTGCCCCTAGGGCCCCCAAACTCCTGCACCCTGCTCCAATTGGCTCAAGGGGCAGCTCCTTTCAGCACCGGAGGCCTCAAATGCTCCACAACCGAGAACACGGACCCAGAGACAGGCACGGAGCACGCAGGAGAGACTCGACAGAGGAGCAGGGACAGGACAGAGGCCGAACGCACCCATTTCTCACCTTTCTGCCCCCAAAACAATCTCCTTCCTTCTGTGGGGAGGGAAAAGCCGACAATTGCCCTTGCCAAGAAAAACCACGCGGCGATTCAAAAGCCACAGGCAGCAGCCTTAAAAAAAAAAAAAAAAAAAAAGCCACAAACTGACTTAGAGAGAAAAATATAACCTTTAATTTACCGAGCGAGAGAGAGAAGAAAAAGGACTGATTTTTGGCCTCAAAACAGACACTTTTTGCCAGGCGATCGGGGCCATGGAAGAGTCGCCACGAAGCGCCCACGGGGGAAGGCTGCGAGGTGCTGACGACTTCCTGAGCAGGGACGGCGCCGGCTGCTTGTGGCTCTGTGCTTTTCTCCAAAAAATAATTAAAACCCCCCAAACCATTCTTTCCCCTCTGCTTCCCAGTTCAGCTCCTAGCGCAGGCACCGGGGCGCACCGCACCGAGGCTTCACGGAGATTGTTTGGCCTGTTTCTATACATTCATAATGTTAATGTGCGTAGTCACATGAGTGTTTATACACACACAAACATATGAATACGCACAAATATTTTGCATGTTTATATAGATGTGCCTATACCTATTTGTACACGTGTATGTGTGCATGTTTGTGCGTTTCTGTATGCATGTTTGTGCAAGTGCATGCGCATAGGTGTATCTATAATCACTGTATATTTTGTATGTCTATATGTACATGAAAGATCAATTTGTACACACACACCCACACACACACGCATGTATACACATAAATACCCATATATTAGACATACAAAAGTTGTGATTATATACACATACAATATGTGCAGACACACACAAAATATATATGCATGTGATTATACACTTGTATCTACCCACACACCACACATGCAATGTGTATGTGCATCTATTTGTATGTGTGTGGATGTATGCAATACACACACACACACACACACACACACACACACACACGCATACATACATATACATATGCACACATGCAGTGGAGTAGGAAAATCAGGTGCTCCATCCAAGAGCAGCAGGACATTCACAACATTCATACGCCTACATACAACACACACGTACATACACACGGCCACACGCGCGTGCACAAATAAGCATAGGGACACCTCCCTGCAGCACCCGAAAGGAGCCTGAAGTCACTGCAGGGAAGCAGAAAAACCACCCAGTCGCTGGAGCCACCAGGCAGGTGGGAGCCCCGGGGCAGCTCCATGCTCCCGCCCTGGATTTTCTCCCATCCTCAGGGACTATCAGAAGACAAAGAGAAAAGCCAATTCGAATCCAGGCCCCGCGCTGGAGTGAGGGTTCTGCTCTTGTGGTTCCAGGTTGAGGCCGGGGGGAGGGAATATTCCCCTTGCCCTGCAAAACCTGGAGGAAGAGAATCCAGGAGTCCGGCCCTTCCCGCTCCTCTCCCCTCCTAGCACAACCCCAGGCTCTGTGGCTACGCATGCACTGCATCTACCCCGCCGGGGCCTTATCACCCCCCCACCCAACCCCTTCAAGATCCCCATGACATCACTAGCTTAATTGCCTGGGTCAATATTGACTCCTGGCGGCTAATCTCCACTCCACCGGCGCCACCGAGATTACAGCCGCGGCACAAGGGGGCTTGAGCTGTCCCCCTTCTCCCCCCCTAGCAAAGTCCCCAATCCCGAGCACGGAGGCCGGTGCCAGAGACGTGACCTGGAGCCTCGTCCCTCCACCAGCACACATGCGTGTGCTGTGCTACAGCAGCATGTGCTGGGCAGGGGGGGTGTGCATCACTGCAGAGAAGTGTGCGTGGGTGCATGTATGTGTGTGTCGCTGCCTTTAGTGCGGTGGGGTGGGGTGGGGTGGGGTGGGTGACAGGACACCTGGGTTCTTCTCTCAGCTCCCCAAGA